GATCAGATAAATGTTTTCAAAAGATCCCAAGATTTACTAATTCTCATTCTTTTTATTTAAACAAAAAACGACTCGCCCGAATGTTATGTAATTCTTTTCAGATCATATTACCGTTACTATGTATCGATCGGCACCTCAACGAAGTCGATACTGACTGAAGATTTTGTACTAATTTTCTTAAAAAAAGTCGTGCCGCCTTAGAATGTAATAGAATATCCCTATATTCATTTCTCATCAACTCCCCACAAATATATATAAATATTTGTGTGTTAAGAAGCTAATGTCGTCTGTTTTCTTTCTATATATAAATATTGTTAGCAATTACAATTTTCACACGGCATGTTTTCATTCGATATCCACAACTAACGTTTGAAATAAAAGACTAAAATTACTTTCCCAGCGCTGATCTCTCTCGAATTTTTCAATGGAAAGAAGAAAGTGGGACGTGGCTTAGGTAAAAGTGCATCTCAAACAAATCTAAAGAACAATTATGTACAGCTGTGTACACGAAAATGTAATTAATATTTCATAAACAATATGGAGAATTTAAAACAATACTCAACCAGGCTCAATTAGAAAATGGAAAATTAAACTAGGTGGCCTAAAATGGAAACAATAAAAAAACTTTGAATGTAAACTGATACAGTATATGTAAGTATTCAAAAACAAACGCAAAATTAAATTTAAAATAACAGTTTATTATTATAAAATCTTTTTATCTGTCCAACAAGAGCCCTGGGTAAATCACAGAATAAATTAAAATTTAAAAAATCACAGACTACATTAATAAGTTGTGAAAAATAGAATATTTTTACTTTTGAACATAAATTGGCATATATCTGACCCATACATGAGTTTAAAAGCTTTAAATGAGGTTTTACCCATTGATAATATGACAAGTGAGATTTACCTGAAAAAAAAACTTCTAACCCTTAATTGCCTTGAACTTTACTCAATATATTCCAAACTAAGGGATGAAATGGAGAATATATTTGACAATGTTTTGGGAAAAAGGTGACATATTTATACGCATATTTAAAGCATTTCTTGTGAATAAAAGTCCTAACTTATTGTTATTTTTCACCGAAAATTGTGAGGTGATATCACGGAAATTTCAACTTTGGGCACCAATCAAACTCGGATTTCTTCCCTTAAAACAAACGAAAACTACAGAACACACTCTACATGTAAAACTCAAATAGTACAATAACACAGGTCTGCGATAAAAAAAGGTTTTTGTATAAATTTATCTTAACATGCAAATGTTGGTCTATATTTTGCAAATATCAACTTTGTTTTAACGTATCACGTCACATTTTTTGTATATAGATAAATATATGTATATATATATATATATTGCTCTTTAAATGGGTACTTTTTCACAAAATTCATTTTAAAGTTTATATTTTTATTTAATACTCTCTGACTGAGCCTTAGTTTGTCTTTCACATTATTTTAGATAGTCTGAAAATCACTATAGTCGTTTACACCGCCTAAAAAAAAATAGTTTATAGCCCGCCATTATTGATGTGTAACAAAAGATTGTGTTTCATTTATCTTTAACTATGGTTTCTAGGAGTTGTAAAAACAATTCAAATGCATTTTGTTACATTTGCGGACAATATACAATAGTTAAGCAAAGATTAAATATAACAAACTTTGTAAAAAATGCTTATTAAGCTTTCTTCAGAATGAAGTTGTGTCACCAAGATAAACAGTCGGTTACGATAAAGTATGCGGGTTATGTGTTTAAGTGTTAAGATAGTGGACTTATGGTAAATCAAAATCATTGTTATTCGGTATTCCTATGTCTAAAGTAGAATGCAATTGGAAGTCGAAGTGAAAAATGTCATCAATACGAGTCTGAAAGATCCCGAAAAAGTATTGCTTCCACCACTTTACATTAAACTTGATTTGATCAAACAGTTTATAAAAATATCGAGGTCACAATTTATATAGGTTTTAAGTATATAAAAAATCGTAAGCACACAAAAAAATACTTTTTAAGAAAGAAGTCAATTCAAAAATCACGTTTTTTGTTTATTTTCGATCTTTCTATGCTTTAATATTGTCGGAGGTATTTTTAACCAACACCATCGAAAAGAGCATCGTTAAAAACAGAAATTTATCGAATATTTTTTCGTCGCACTCATTACAAGGTTAGAAGCGTTCGAAATGTGGTGTTATAGGCGGATGATGAGGATATCGTGGGTAGAAAAGGTTAGAAATAAAGGGAATTTAGAAAGAATAGGAGAACAAAGGACTCTATGGAAGTCAATAAAAAATAGGCGAGATAGGTTGGTAGGACACCTTCTCAGGCATGAAGGTCTAGTCAGAGACCTATTAGAGGCAGAAACAGGAGTTAGTAGGGGTAGGGGTAGACCTAGATTAGATTACTCTTCGCAAATAGTTAAGGATGTGGGCTGTTCTAGTTTTAGGGAAATGCGAAGTTTAGCTCAGGATAGGAATGAGTGGAGGTACGTGTCCAACCAGTCTTGGGACTGATGACCTTATGATGATGATGCACTCATAACGTGGCAAGGGTTCAAATGGAAATGTGTTCTCTGAGCATTTATGGGTTAATGTGACGTGCTATAAAACATATGAATATCGTTTTCTATTACTTTTAAGACAATTACGACAAATATTAACAATTTAAAAAAAAAAACTTTTCAAAACGAAAATTTCGCAAACCTGTGTAATTGATATGCGTATATACGTACTTAAGAGTGTACCACATAGATTGGTTAAGCCTAGAAAATGAATCGAGTTATGCGACAGGTGTCGGGCGGAAAATGGGCCATGACACTGAACGTGACTCTCGTAATCTCGATTTGTCGACGGTCGGTCGTAAACGCAACCTCGCCATTCGCAACGGCGCCGTCGAATCTCGACCGCAAGTAATGAGAAAGCAAAATCCGTGACTCGAAAAATATTTACTTTGCTTTCTATGTCGACAGTGAAAAGCCACTTTTATTATTTAATGTGCTCGTAAACCACCCCTACATTGCACGAACCGGAAACGGATTCAGTGATTGTCCAAGTACCGGAAGTAACGTTCAATTTTGTGGGCACATCACGTGAACGATAAAACATAAAGAAGTCAAATCTCTTTCGTGTCAAACCAAAATTCCCGCACGTATTTTCAATGAATTTTACTTTCATACATTCTCATCAAACACGTATTAGCTAGTTTCGTTAATCTGTTATTCAAATGATATCTTTACCCTATTTTAGAATATAAAACAATTATACCACAACTGATATACATGGGAATGCATCAGTTTTAAGACTGTTTGGACAGTCACCTGCATTCTTTCCTATCCTGAGTTAATCTTTTTACACTATTTATGAACAGTTACCTTTATATTACTAGAAATTTCAATGAAGTTGAAACGAAGTTCCTTATGTTAAAGGAAATTCCTATGAAAACATATTTTTATTCTTATAACAACATGGAAATAAAGAAACATCTTATCAACTATTGGGACAAGAGATTTTCTTTTTGAGTGAATTATTACTTTTCTTATTTGTTCATAAACAACTCTACCCGGATGCATCATAGCAAGACGCTTAATGTTTAAACGTTTCAACCATTTGCATCATGTTGTTTCTTAAAACTACATTATTTTACTAAACAGCCGTCTTGAAAGTAAATGCACCTCAAAATATTTAAACAGCACAAAGGGAGACCAAGAATCAAACATACATTTCATTACGACATAAATCCACAGAATTTAAGCAGGAATTGGTTATAGGTAAATCTTTCTCTTAGTCTTGGTTTTGTTCATTTAGTATTGGCTTTGGTGATCATTTTTGCTCAAAAGTCATGTCTTTTGGAGGTGCTTTCCAACGTTTCGCAAACACGGGTAGGGTTGCCACCCGTACTTTATTATAAAGTATTGTACTCTATTTCGACTGTGCGTACGTTATATTTTCAGTACGCAAAGATACTTTATTTAAAGCCTTAAGTAAACATCGTAATTTTGTAAGCGATTATTCGAAATTCAGAGTATTTTTACATCAATCAAAGCCATATTTAAAGTAGTGTCACTTTTGCTATCCGTTCCGGCCACTTCAGCATTTACAGAAAGAGTATTCTCTGTTATGAACACAAAGTGGCAGGACGACAGGAAACACATTCATTAAAGCTAATTAAAAATGGACTTTTAGTTTACTTAAATCTTTGTTTGCTATGTTTGAGGCTATTAATATATTTAAGAGCGACAGCAATTTGTTACTGGCTGCTAGGTGTAACAAAAAATATGTTTTTAAAAACAAAAAATAAAGTAAGTACTTTATTTTTATGCTGAGTACTTTTTTTTTTTAGTCGAGAAGTACTTTATGTAAAGCCTGAAAAGGTGGCAACCCTATGTATGGGTGGCAAGCTTCTTCTGAGGTGCACATGCAGCATCAGAGATGGAATGGCTTTCTTCAGTGGTCTCTGATGCTGCATGTGCACCTGTGAAGAAGGTCATTCCATCTCTGATGCTGCATGTGCACCTCAGAAGAAGCTTGCCACTCGTGCTAGCGAAACGTTAGGAAGTAACTCCAAAAGACATGACCTTTGGCCAATAATAATCTTGGTCTTGCACACCAAAGCCAATACTAAATGAACAAGACCAAGAGAAAGATTTACCTATTAAAAAATTCCTGCTTAAATTCTGATACAGCTATATAATAATATGAAATAAATCCTTATTAACTTGAGGTAATTTACAGTAGGTTTAAATCGAAAATCAATTTCCACGTTTATTATTTAAAATAAATCAATGGAAACCTTATGTAGGTAACTAAAAATAAACAAATTGCGCTGCAAGTCCAATCAACGACGGCTTTTAGACCCGTATCAGGATAGCATCAGTTCAAACTTCCTATTGTAAGAAAAATCTCAATCTATGTTGGTATTGCGAATCTCCGTATCAAGAATAACCATGTACAATATGTGTTTTATAAATTAAGATCGAACAAAATTAACACAATCACTTTCTTTGTTTCAGAGTCCAGAAAACTGTTCGGTGGATACAGGATAACACCGAAACACTGTATTCCAACACGAACATTAAACAGGTTAGAAGGTCCCACAGTATGCATGTTCAACCACGAATGCAGTCAAAGAAACGGTCATGTAGTAGGCACCTGCATGGACGGATTTCTGTTTGGAGCGTGCTGTCAACTGTCAGAAGATTTAGTAGGCGAACTTACATTAAGTGAAGAACATCCTGCTCAGGTTCCGAGTAATAGCTTGAACTTTGTAAAAGACACATCGTCATCGAAGAAACCGCCAGTTTATGGTCCGTTCACTTCAGGCGACGATGACATTGCTTTGGACGGAGTTTCAAAAATAACAGCCGCATTACTTCATCCCGATTTGATTTTGACTGCAGAAGAAAACGAAACCTTGCACGTAGGGAATTTCCACGCTCAATTTTCAACCACAGGAGTAACTCATCCCACAGCTCCGGACACATTCATTCTCAATCAAAACGACAAAGACAATACTATATATTCTGATTTATTCAACAATCCCTCCAGTCAATTTCTCCCCGCAGAAGATCGAAGGACCACGTACACGTTACCAGAAACAACTCCATCATACTCCCACCACTCGTCACCATATATACAAATCTCAATATCAAACTCTCCAATAGAATTTCTTAGTCCCACTGCAGGGCTGAAACGACCTTCATTTAAACCAAAACCTTCGCTTAGTTCGGACGAATATATTCTCGTGCCTACCGTGACACACAAACCGAACAAAACAAGCGACAGTATTACTCAAGAATCTTCCTATCAAAGTCCTGCATCGACAGCATTTTACACTAAGATGTCATCATCGAAAAGACCACCGATCACGACATGGGCCACAACTCCAAAAAGGCCACCGTCTACTTCGTACGTATACAGTTCAACTCCACTANCAGGAGGTACGTTTCAATCGTAGTTCCTTCTTACTTCGTCGAAATGCTTTTACATATGGATTGAGTTCTGTTTTTTAACCACTTAAAATCGTTCAATTTAGAATTGCTTTTGACAGTACATACTAATTCAACTGATGGACAGATATTAAAAAATAATATGGAGCAGGTGCCCCAATAAAGTTATCCAAAGTTTATTGGGTCAATAAATTTAAAATAACTCTCATAGATGGTGCGTAAAGTCAGAAGCTCGGGTTCGATTCCTGGCGAGAATGTGAGAGTAACAACAAATTTATCCTTATTAACTTGAGGTAATTTACAGTAGGTTTAAATCGAAAATCAATTTCCACGTTTATTATTTAAAATAAATCAATGGAAACCTTATGTAGGTAACTAAAAATAAACAAATTGCGCTGCAAGTCCAATCAACGACGGCTTTTAGACCCGTATCAGGATAGCATCAGTTCAAACTTCCTATTGTAAGAAAAATCTCAATCTATGTTGGTATTGCGAATCTCCGTATCAAGAATAACCATGTACAATATGTGTTTTATAAATTAAGATCGAACAAAATTAACACAATCACTTTCTTTGTTTCAGAGTCCAGAAAACTGTTCGGTGGATACAGGATAACACCGAAACACTGTATTCCAACACGAACATTAAACAGGTTAGAAGGTCCCACAGTATGCATGTTCAACCACGAATGCAGTCAAAGAAACGGTCATGTAGTAGGCACCTGCATGGACGGATTTCTGTTTGGAGCGTGCTGTCAACTGTCAGAAGATTTAGTAGGCGAACTTACATTAAGTGAAGAACATCCTGCTCAGGTTCCGAGTAATAGCTTGAACTTTGTAAAAGACACATCGTCATCGAAGAAACCGCCAGTTTATGGTCCGTTCACTTCAGGCGACGATGACATTGCTTTGGACGGAGTTTCAAAAATAACAGCCGCATTACTTCATCCCGATTTGATTTTGACTGCAGAAGAAAACGAAACCTTGCACGTAGGGAATTTCCACGCTCAATTTTCAACCACAGGAGTAACTCATCCCACAGCTCCGGACACATTCATTCTCAATCAAAACGACAAAGACAATACTATATATTCTGATTTATTCAACAATCCCTCCAGTCAATTTCTCCCCGCAGAAGATCGAAGGACCACGTACACGTTACCAGAAACAACTCCATCATACTCCCACCACTCGTCACCATATATACAAATCTCAATATCAAACTCTCCAATAGAATTTCTTAGTCCCACTGCAGGGCTGAAACGACCTTCATTTAAACCAAAACCTTCGCTTAGTTCGGACGAATATATTCTCGTGCCTACCGTGACACACAAACCGAACAAAACAAGCGACAGTATTACTCAAGAATCTTCCTATCAAAGTCCTGCATCGACAGCATTTTACACTAAGATGTCATCATCGAAAAGACCACCGATCACGACATGGGCCACAACTCCAAAAAGGCCACCGTCTACTTCGTACGTATACAGTTCAACTCCACTACCTCCTCGACCAGGAACTCAAAGTACAAAAGCAAAACCTTCTTCGACAGTAACCTATTGGTCCAGTTCTAAGCCAAGTGCTACCGTAACATATGGCGTTTCCTCGCCCAAGCCATCATTTCAAAAAATCTCGAGCACCTTAAGACCCGCCTTTCCATCGTACTCGGACCACACCACGCACAAATCTCCACTAACATCCCACACATACACTACTTCATACTCCAAACAACCCCTTCTTGTGTCTAACCCCTCCAGCTCTTATTACAATACACCATCCCAACACTCCAGTTCATCCACCAGCCCCCCGCCGACAATTATAGTTCTCGGTCCATCAGAAGAATATTCATCACCGTTGCCATTAGACCCATCAAGTACTACTTCGATACCGTTAAGACGTCCCGTTACTCAAGTTACGATAAACAATCACGTTACTCATACGGTTTACGCCCCAACACCTTCACCGTCCGTTTTGATAACACCAAAACCAAGCTCGATAACTTCCAAACCGCTCAGAAGACCCACCACCGAATTCCAGACCACTGGAGAGTCAGAAACGTCACTAAATAACGATCTAATAAACTTTCCTCCGGTAAGAAATCCAAATCTGAATATATCAGCTCCTCACGAGGATGACATAACAACGCCATCCTTCGTAGAAGATGAGGCGCTCAATTCAAAAGTAGAATCTTTTGTCAATAAAATTGTGCAAGGTTTGCAGGAACCGTTTCAAGGGCTAAAAGACGTCGTCTATAATAAAAATACGACGTTGTTTGTCGAAACTACAACGAAAAAGACAACGAGAAAAACAACAAGCACTAAAAAACCTACGGCCACCGCCAAGCCGTCCACGAGAAGAACTACGAAAAGACCATCCTCAGCCAGCGCCACAAAGAGAACAACAACAACTACAACAACAACGAGTAGAACTACACCGTTAAGAAAAATTACAACGACAACGACCCCATCGTACATAGAAACAATAGCCCCACCGTTAAGTTCCAACGATTACAGACATGGTAATTATTACTACAAAAGGCGTCGCCATGGAAGATCAGTAGCGCGACGCCTAATCGTATTTCGACTTAATTGATAAAACGATCCGACCAACAGTAGCTGTTATATCTATCACTTAATTCTGTTTTTTAGTTTGCGGTATACGGCCTCTAGTAAAATCCGGTAGAATAGTTGGTGGTAAGCAAGCAGCTTTCGGTGCATTTCCATGGCAAGTGCTAGTTAGAGAATCCACATGGTTAGGACTGTTCACGAAAAATAAATGCGGAGGAGTTCTAATCAGTAATAAGTTCGTGATAACCGCTGCACACTGTCAACCAGGATTTTTAGCTTCACTAGTGGCTGTTTTTGGCGACCACGACATTTCGGGAGATAAGGAAAAGAAAAGAGCCATCACAAGGAACGTGAAGAGGGTCATCGTTCATCGAGAGTACGACCCGCTGACTTTCGAAAACGACTTGGCTTTACTCGAGTTGGAAAATCCCGTCGCTTTTGACGAGCATATAAGTAAGCAAATCGCTCATTATTTAACTGAATAATATGGAACTCATCATAGCTTGTTTTCTTCTTTTGGACATAATAATACCATGAAAATTAAATATCAAGATACAAGTGAATGCCTACCCGTAAGAAAAAATTCCATTGAACTTCAATGGGAAACAATGGAAAATTTGTATATTCCATTCAAAACCATTTCGCATAAATGGAAAAATAATTGTTTCCATTTACAATAATTNAATGTGATTGTCAAAGCAAGTTGTAAAAAAAAATATTTCATCTTGATTAAAACGAATATCATTTAATTAACACTAACAATAATTAAACGTAAAAAATAAAAAATTGGCACTAGGATTTCCATTGGGTTCAGGAATGGAAGTTCCAATGGAACGCAACGGAAATCCCATTGCGTTCAGCAATGGAAATCCCATTGAGTTCGGGAATGGGATTTCCACTAGAATTCTAGTGGAAATACCATTCATCCCATTGGCAATTCTCCATTTATTACCATTAATTATTATCAGTGGTAATTAGAAGGCATTTTTTAATGGAAATATAATGGAAATTTTTCCTACGGGTATGTATCTCCAACCAAATTCTCCGTTACATGTGAAGAAACTCGCTTCTAGAATCTTGTTGGTCACCAATTTAATAATAAACTAGCAAACATTTTTTGGCTAAAGGTATACACATAAGTAATAAAAAATCGTTTTAAAATTCAACAAATTAGATTAAATATATAGTTTACGACTGGACCCAAAATTTTCATTTAAATATTTTACAGGTAACATACTGAAATTGAGAAACATTTATTATTTATATAGCTAATAGTAATTTCTCTATTCATTCATCATCATCATAAGGTCATCAGTCCCTGGTTGGACACGCACCTCCAGTCCTTCCTATCCTGAGTTAATCTTTGCATTTCCTTAAAACTAGAACATCCCCCGACCTTAACTATTTGTGAACTGTCATCTAATCTAAGTCTATCTCTACTCCTTTTAACTCTTGCTTCTGCCTCTAATATGTCTCTGACTAGATCTTCATGCCTGAGAAGGTGTCCTACCAACCTATCTCGCCTATTTTTTATTGACTTCTATAGGGTCCTCTGTTCTCCTGTTCGCCCGTAACACCACATTTCGAACGGTTCTAACTCTTTCTTTTCCGCCGCGGCCACCGTCCATGTTCATTCTCTGATCATTAGATGTTTTTTTTTCTTATTAGCGAACATTTCTTAACTCAAAAACAAACTTTTAATACTTAAAAGTGTTACCCTAATACGACATACCCTATTAATAAATGTATAATGGTTACATATATGTATTTGATTTCTACTTTAAATGTGTCCAGCTTGAACCGAATGAGCCTACAGAATGAATTTTTTTTTAAACATCATATCACGTGCTTTAAATAGTAAAAGTATTAATCAACTTACAGATTGGCCGACTGAACCCTTTTTCTAAAATGGGATTCCATTTTATCACCATCACAAGCCGTCACGTTAAACTATTACGAATGCCGATATAAAACTGTTCCTTAAAGCCAACTTAATATACTACATAGGATGAAATGACCGTAGGCATAAAAACGGCAAGAATGTTTTGCCCTTGCAATGACATTACCTAATACGATACACATTTATACACAGCGGCCGTTGTTATCTACAGTTTTTTGTGAGTTGTTTTGCAAGCCGACTATTGTTGAAGAATAAAAAGAACGACTTGGTCGTTTTTGTAGAGAAAAAGCGCAGATGTTGAAATAAAAAGGATAACATTTTATACAGCAACTATCTATAGTATATTTACATTATGACTCGATAATGTTTCTTACTCGAAGAAAATAGGCAAAATTTATAAGATTAAAATGATATTAAGTTAAAAAAGTAGGACTTTTATATTAAAAAATCACATTGGCTTTAACGGAATATGTAATTTGTAACTGCATAAAAATTCATAAAAACTTGTGAAATGTGTTCTAAGTTAATGAGCAAAGTGTACCCGTTATTAGGTGAATCTCTATTTGTTTATTAATAACAAAAATATAAAAACATTGAGGAAAAATCATGAAAATCAGGTGCTAGGGACTTTTGGGTGTGCTGATTACGAATTTGATGACAGATTTACAAAATTCAAAATAGCGGATAAAAAATGGCCGACCAGAACGAAGAAAGAGTGCGAGAAAAATTGTAACTGTTTTGTTGTTATGACATATTTTGTCGTATTATTCTTGATTTTTTTAATGATTTACAATTTTTTAGGATTAGTACCTTAGCTAATATTTCTATGCATTCAAATAAAAATATTTTTTTTAAGTTGTTACACTTTTAATAGTACTAATTTTTCGAATTTAATTCTTCTAAAAAATATTAAAATTGGCACTAACAGTTTTTCAAACAAACAAATTTTATTTGCTCTTGAAGTCAAAGCAAGACGTGGACACTTTTTTTCGGTAGTATTCTCGCTACGCTTTTCTAGAATACTTGAAGAATATTGTTTACCAAAGTCTACCTAGTTACAATCAAAAGTGAAAATGTTTGCTTACTCAACTAGATAGTTTAGTATAGGATGGACAACTAATAGGACAGACAATTAAAAATTTTTGTTTAAAAATATGATTTATTCAATTAGATATTGTCAACTTTTTGTTGATGACCTTTTATCATCTTTCGGGCAGTGTTATAATTCAAAAAAACTTTTACCAGCAAAAAACTGAATTAAAGGTAATTTTACATCAAGTTTACCATTTACCGAGTTCTGCATAGAACGAAACAAATTGTAATCTGAAGACGCAAGGTCAGTTCTATATGGTAGCAGGGGCGAACTAAGGCTTAGGCAACTTAGGCACGTGCCTAGGGTCCGTAATTTTTGGAGCCCGAAAATTAGGTTATTAATTCAAAACAATTTTTCATTATAGTGATGTTAGTGACTCCTCAAAAAAGGAATTAAAATATTATGAACAAGACTTGAACCTAACAGAACTGAAAAATGAAGTATTACAATTTAAAACTTTTATAAGTAAAGAAAATATTACTTCGCCTGTATCCATGTGGTCATTTATTCAGGAAAATAATATTATTGCAACATTCCCTAATTTAAACATAATTTTGAAAATATGTTTAACCCTTCCAATAGGCAATGCAAGCGGTGAAAGATCATTCTCAGTAATGGCCAGAATAAAAAATTTTTTAAGATCCACATTAGTCAGTGTCATGACTGAAAAATAGGTCCGGAATTAAAATGTTGTCTAGGGCCCGCTTTAGCTTTAGTACGCCACTGTATGATAGATCTGAAAACACGTTCCAACCTAGCTCCAACAATTTAATATTTAATTTACAATAAAATTTAACTGGTTTTAATTTTCCGTATTTGATTTCATTAAATTTATTGTTCTACGTCAAAATTTGAATTTAGGTGACCATCTTTATGGGCAACATTAATAAAATTTAGAAGAAGTGAGAATGTACTATTTAATTCTAAGTTAGGCTAATAATTTAGTAACGGTTTGTTTAATGCAAATCATATATAAAAACATATGAAAACATTTTAAATAAACTAAATCACCTGCTCCTAATTTCAGAAAAAGTTCATGAATGAAGAACAGAAATACATCATTTACGGCCGTAACCATTATAAATTCGTTTTTATTGGTCGTTTAAAAAAGAATCGAGATCACTTTCTATATCGATTAGTTCTCCTTCTTAAATATTGTTACGGAATTCGGAGGTTCAGTTTTTGCCACTGTCCAACAATGACTTATTCGCTTTGTTATTAACTACGGTCTTTGATGATTCACATAAAAACGGATGCAACCCAAAAATATGCGGCGAAAGTTTTACAAAGTCGCTTTCACTGACCATTTCATTTCGTTTTAATCCTAAAATGGGTTACCAAACAAAAACAGAGCCAAATCTTTCAATATTTGTAGTAGGTAACGTAAATTACAACCAATTACAAATTGCATGTGGTTTTTTATTGCAATTTACTTTCGAATCAAATAATATAAGTACATTTCGCGCCTATACGAATTAATTAAACTCAACTTTTGACACTTTAAAACCTAGAAGACTATTTACCTGCCTTAGCGCCAATACACACAATAAACGATTTTTATTTTCGACGAAAAACTGTACCAAAATTATCGACGATCGCGAATTAATACAATAATAATGCCAAATTCTTTACAAATTATCCGAGAATACCTGGACTAATATAGTTACTATTCAGGCTGGGCAAATCATCCTTTTAATCGATTAATTCTAATAGACAGTTAAGGGTTGGAAGGCTCACATTTGTGTGTAGAACTAACACCGACGTTTCGCTTCTAATTGGATGCCTTTATCAAGACTACATTTCTAGTTAGTAGTGTAGGATGTAGTTACATTATGTGGACACTTACTAGCAAACACAGAACTATTTGGAACTTATGTTCTTTTAACTAAAGAACCTAATATTCCAGTGTTGATGAAGTCTTCCAACTAGATGCGAAACGTCAGTATGTCCTATAATGTATCAACTGAAATATATAGGCATTTTATGTTCATTAAATGCGTCTTCAATTTTTTTTTCTTGAAACTTTGATCATGAGTTTACACTCCACAGAATACTTATTTGTGTGAATACGTATTTTACAGGATTAGTCGCAATAAATGTATAATGTACTAAAACGTAATGCTTATTTAATTGGTATAGAATTTCCTTGAAAAATTGCAAAATTTTAATGCATCATGTTGTAATATTGAAAGANCTAACTCTTTCTTTTCCGCCGCGGCCACCGTCCATGTTCATTCTCTGATCATTAGATGTTTTTTTTTCTTATTAGCGAACATTTCTTAACTCAAAAACAAACTTTTAATACTTAAAAGTGTTACCCTAATACGACATACCCTATTAATAAATGTATAATGTACTAAAACGTAATGCTTATTTAATTGGTATAGAATTTCCTTGAAAAATTGCAAAATTTTAATGCATCATGTTGTAATATTGAAAGAATGTAGGAATATTTATAACATAGTGAATCGCATGTGTCATGTGATCAATCACAATACCATTCTTTACTTCTCCCTGAATCGCAAAACACAGAAATATTATGGTACGGTAAATTGCACTGATATAATCAGCTGTAGTTAATAAATTATCTCCAAATTTTGAATACTGAAATAATTTTTCAGTTGAGTTCAAAGTTCAAATCATAAACTTCCCCTGTCTTTCCCTTTTTAAAAGAATAAGAGTCGGCACCTGTTTCTGTGGTTTTTGACAGACTTATCTTTGAAAAACGGGTTTTGAAAATATTAGTTGGAGTTTAGGCTTGCCTAGATTACTTCTTAGAAAAACAATAGAAAACCACCCGAGTCTATTTGTATTGTTATTTTTATTTTAATAATACTTTATTCACATAATAACTAATATAAAATAAACGTATTATTAATGAAGACTGAAGGATTATAATGTTGAAATTCAAAAGGCAAATTATATTCATACTAATCATAAAGGTAAGGTCAATTTGGATTTCTTATGAAATTTAGATTGTACCTACTGCTTTTATTTCCTATCGGGATGAAGGTGAATACTTTTTAAAAAAGCAAATCGTCTGATTTTTGGTAACTCCGACGATTTACAATACCAAAAAGGGAAAGATTTTTTCCACCTAGCTATATTAATATATTCTCACCATCTTCACTTTCTTATTTTTCTACGTCTCTACGATATTTAATTTTTACTTAATTTTAGTAGAAATAAAGAAGAAAACAATTTTATTGCAACGTCTTGTCAGTTTGAAAAGAAAGCATTCATTTCTTTACGATATTATTCATTTTTTTTCTCTTTATGTTTCTCGGTGTAATTATAAACTTTTTTCCACAGTACCAATATGTCTGCCAAAAGAGGGAACCGATTTTACCGGTCGAGTGGCAACAGTAACCGGCTGGGGACGTTTGAAATATGGCGGTGCAGTGCCATCAATTTTGCAAGAAGTCCAAGTTCCAATCATGGAAAACCACGTATGTCAAGAGATGTTTAAAACAGCTCACCACGACAAGAAAATCCGGGAATCGTTCTTATGCGCAGGATACGCCAACGGCCAAAAGGATTCATGTGAAGTATGAACATCTAAGTTTCATATAGAGAACATTTATTACCTCGAACTATTACCCAAACACCTACTCCCATAAATATTAAAAAGATTATTAAAATTCTGTTATTAATTTTATACCGGGGACAGGGGTGTAATTACGTGTAGGATAGCCATGGCAAAATTCAGGTCTCACCACGATATCATTATTATTCTTTCATGGTTTCGTAAGCTCTAGGTCTTAATAATCCCATCTATCGATAACCCTATACTCCATCATTAATTTTAGATTGGTAAGCAGATATATCGTACCTATTTTATTGAAAAAAAGACACATGTGTGGAAGTCTGTCTATTATCAGAACTCTTAGGCGCAAGTTTGAGCACTTGGTCCTGCAGTGCACTGGGTTGTGGGGGTGTTTCTGTTTCTTTTTTACATAATCTGACCGGCGCTCGGAAGAATACATAATGATGCCCCTGACCATGGAGTCAAAAAAGTTGAAACAGATTCGTTAAAAGTTTCATGTTTTTTCCCGAAAAACAGCTTGGACATGCCAATTTTTACTTTTTATTGTATATTTTTTAAACTAATTTACATTCACATACAATATATCAAGAAAGTAAAATCATATAGCTTGACGCAGACGTTGGTGACTCCTACAGAATAATGAGCTAGATCCCTGGTTCGACCCTATTAGACCTTTTCTGTGGAACCAAAGTGTGTATCACTTATAGACCTATGGTAACATTGTTAAGAGATTGCGTGTAAATCAGTTATTCAATGACATATGTCACGCACTAATATTTCTTTCGTACTTCCCATATTAAAACAGGCAAGTACGTAAGCAATAATGTAATATATGTATAATGGTGCACATTCACTATATTTCATTATATACAATTTTCGGGGATGTTTCTTTTGACTTTTCAATTGATCCAGACACTAAAATGCAATCTTTCAATAGTTTTACAGAACGACGTTAAAAGTTAAAAATGAGCCTAAATTACTTAATTAAGACAAAACGGCGTGACATAAACTTTCAATCTATACATCGAAGACGCGATCAACATCATTAAAGACAGTACAACTGTAGGGATAGATTAGTATGCTTAAATTTTCAGATGATATAGCAGTATTAGCATTTAGCAAGGAGGAGAAATATCTTTTAATAAAATGAAAGCGGTATTGACAAAATAATATTATATGAAAATAAATAAAAGTAAAGCAAAAATAATATAGCGAATATAAAGATAGGAGACGAAAAATTAGAAGAAGTGGTTGATTTTAGGTATCTGGGAAGTCAAATAAATCAGGACGGAAGGAGTAGTAGGGATTTAAAGGAGAGGATAGCACAGGGTCGAGTCGCCTTCAATAAAAAGAAGTCATTTCTATGATCGCGAACGGTTAATTTAGAAATTCGAAAAAGATTGTTAAACGTGTGTTTGGAGCGCGGCGCTGTACAGATGCGAAACATGGACAGTGGGCGCGGCGGAAAAGAAAAGGCTAGAAGCGTTCGAAATGTGGTGTTACAGGCGAATGATGAGGATACCGTGGATAGAGAAGGTTGGAAATGAAGAGGTATTAGAAAGAAAAGGAGAACAGAGGACTCTATGGAAGTCAATAAGAAATAGGCGAAATTGGTTGGTAGGACACCTTCTCAGACAATAAGGTCTAGTCAGAGACATATTAGAGGCAGAAACAGGAGTTGAGTGGAATAGAGCTAGTCCTAGATTAGATTACTATTTGCAGATAGTTAAGGATGTAGGTTGTTTTAGTTTTGGGAAAATGCGACGATTAGCTCAGGATAGAAAAGAGTGGAGGTGCGTGTCCAACCAGTCTTAAGACTGACGACTTTATAATGATGATATAGACTATGATTATAATTTTATTATAAGTGCATAGAATCTAAAAATTAAGTAAAATAAAACGATTTCTTGTTGTATCACAGTGTGAAACAAGAAGCATTTAAGCATAAACATTTATTAAGGGAAATCTATGACCAAGCTTTTGACGAATTTATTTCAACCTTTTTTGTGTTTGGTTTTTCTCATTCCATTCGCATTCAATACGTACGTATTTAAGGAGTACCGGTTTTGCATTATAAATTGCCACCTTTTTTCCAATTTCTATTAATTTTCTTCGAACAAATCAGTCTTAGCAACAATCAGTAACTCGACAGATACATAATTATTATTTATTGTCAACAATTTTGTTATGTTCTAGGGTGACTCAGGAGGACCCCTGGTGTTACAACGTGCCGATGGTAGATGGGAATTAGCTGGTACAGTATCCCACGGGATAAAATGTGCCGCTCCCTATTTACCCGGGGTGTATATGCGCACAGCTTACTACAAACCTTGGTTAGAATCCATAACGGGTGTCCACTGACGCAAACGAAAAACCCGATAGGGTACAACAGCCGAAGTGAAGATAAATGTGATTACCATTCTCAAAATAAGAAATGTATTGATTGTCTGCCTCCTAATTTATTTTTTATTTAAATGTTGTTAATAATAAATTATTTATTTTTTATCATGAATTTTATTTATTCCGATAGACTAAAAACTAAAATTTTAATTTTTATGAACGAGTTTTTCATTATTAAACCTTTAAAACTATATTTTACAACAACTTTAACTGTTTATTTTACATATGACTAGTCATAATCATCCTTATATCTAAATCTAACTGTTCGGGTTTCTGTACGAGAATTCTCGAAATGAGAAGTCCCGAGAAATTTCACGAAAATCGAGAACCCGGGAAATCTCAAAACCACAAAAACAGAAATAAAATGATTGAACTATGATTAGTTTTTAAAAAACGAAGCGAAAAAAAGAACTATAGGGTTGTTCGAAAAGTCATTTCGTTTTTTCCCGACAGAGGATTTAATTGTATTCTTTTGCAACCAACTTCACATTTAAGCCGTATAATTTTTATATGCTTTGAGAGCTCATATAGCAAGGCTTGTGTGTGAAAAATTCCAATTAATTCTACGCAGTAGTTTTTGGTTGGTGCCCTTTTAAATATGGAGAGCGATAAGCAGCATTTTCGACATATCTTACTGTTTTACTACAGAAAGGGTAAAAATGCTGTTCAAGCCAGAAAGAAATTGATTGATGTGTATGGAGAAGGTGTTTTGACAGCGCGTCAGTGCCAGAACTGGTTCGCTAAATTTCGATCCAGCAATTTTGATGTCGAAGATGCACCACGTTCGGGAAGGCCGGTTGAAGCTGATAAAGACGCGATAAAGGCATTAGTTGATGTGAACCGGCGAATAACAACACGTGAGATCGGATTGAGGTTAAATTTATCAAATTCAACAGTTTATGACCACTTGAAAGACCTGGGATTATCCTCGAAGCTCGATGTATGGGTTCCCCATGTTCTCACAGAAATCTGTGTCGCCGCATTGACGTCTGCGATTCGCTTCTCAAACGTCACGAAAATAATCCGTTTTTGAAGCGCATCATCACTGGGGACGAAAAATGGGTTGTATACAACAACGTCAAACGCAAGAGGTCATGGAGCAAAAAAGATGAACCGGTTCAAACCATTTCCAAAGCCGATATTCACCAAAAAAAGGCGATGCTGTCTGTTTGGTGGGATTTTAAAGGAATCGTTTTTTTGAGCTTTTACCGGATAACACAACGATTAATTCGGAAGTCTACTGTCATCAGCTGGACAAACTGAATGATGCACTTCAACAGAAAAGGTCAGAACTAATCAACAGGAAAGGTGTAGTGTTTCACCAAGACAACGCGAGACCTCACACAAGTTTGGTCACTCGCCAAAAGCTTTTACAGCTTGAATGGGATACAATGCTACACCCACCATATTCTCCAGACCTGGCACCATCGGATTATTATTTGTTCCGGTCACTCCAAAATTTTTTAGACGGTAAAACCTTCACCTCAAATGAGGAGGTCAAAAACCTCCTCGATCAGTTTTTTGCTAGCAAAGACCAAAACTTTTATGAGCGTGGAATTATGCTACTACCAGAAAGATGGCAAAAGGTGTTGGACCAGAACGGTCAATATATAATTTAATAAAGTATTTGTTTATTATACGAAAACTGTCTTTCATTTCCACAAAAAAAAACGAAATGACTTTCCGAACAACCCTATAGAAACATCGTGTCAAAAATAAGAAACCGTCTTTCCAATGCTGCAATGAATACTCTCATATTTTGTAATCATATTTTATAAATGTAGTTACATCCAACTAATTTTGATTTTCTTTTATTAATATTATATTTAAAAAACTACATTACTTTAGTATAGCTCTAGTTTATTAAAAAACAGTTGGATAAATTTAAAATTGTTGATCTTCAAAAATCTAAACTCTTTTGCATTCATTGAATAAATCTAATTTAGATAAGCGCCCAATAAGCGAAGTGATTTGATCTCTGTGAGTGTGAATTGTTGTTTTTAATAAATACGAGAACATTTTCTTTTGTTCCTATTTCCTATCCGTAACTGAGAAAGACTGATGATTACATAATAAACGCTACTAATTTTTGGCGTATATTTTATTTGGCATTTTCTAATGGTTCATCAAATTTTGAAAGTTTTTCAAGTTCCTGGGTATTCCAAGGAGTTTTCGGTCGAAAATTCTCAAGTCCAGGTATAAAAAAATAGTCGAGAAATCGTAGTCTACTAATAGTTCAGGCAGTATCTGTTTTTGTTGAATGGGTTAAATCAAAGGCTACATTTTTTTTGGAATCACTCCAAAAAGTCCACACAAATGATAAATTACCATGCCCCCTTGCGAACCCCTGGACATAACTTTTTACCAAACAAAAAATTGGGAAGAAACAGATTCACTAACGGTTTAAATTAAGCCCAGGGTTACGCGAAGGCGCATAGTGAAATTATTATTTTTGAGGACTCTAGAGTGATTCAAAAAAGGTCTAGCCTCCGACCCAACTTACCCAAACAGACACCTCCCGGACTATAAATATATGAATATATATAGTAATTAAAACCGCGATTAAAATAGATAATTGAACGCAGTGAGTGTCAACGTAAAATATTACTCCAGACCCTTATAGAGGTCATGGTTTAAAAGATACTAGTGACCCACCCCAGCTTCGCACGGGTGCAATGCTGATAATAATATATTTTTGTTTTGTTTAGATTATTATCGAAAAGGGGAAATCTTCAAAAGATACTCCCTGAGCATACTAAATATACTACAGAATGTCTTTATATACAACATTCACAGTTTTTTTGTCATTAGACAATACAAACCGGCCTCCCGGCCGGTACTGCCACAACCACTATGTCCCTGCATTTTAAATCTGTAATATCTTCGAAAATATTCATTTAAATTACATGCTGTAAAGGACCATACTGATCTATATTAAATGCACAATGTATTTAAGGTACTTAATTGGATAAGAATTAATGCTATATTGCCTATAATCGCTTCGTAAATGAGTCATTATTTCTCATAAAAAAATAAAGGATAAAAATGGTTATTGTGGATTATCCCTCAGAGATAGACATGTACCATCGAGGACTTTTTTGTGGACCCTTTTAAGATGTACAATATTGTAGTACATTATTTTGATCTATCTCGTAGGGTTCAGCCAGCGTTTGCAATGTAAGCGCAAAAAATGTGACATTAGAAATCTCTAAAATTATCAGTACTTCCCTACTATATTATGCATGTATTATACATATAAACCTTCCTCTTAAATCACTCTATCTTTTAAAAAAAAACGCATCAAAATCCGTTGCGTAGTTTTAAAGATTTAAGCATACATAGAGACAGACAGCGGGAAAGCGACTTTGTTTTATACTATGTACTTAGTGATAAGTAAACATATAATATTATTTTATATTAATAACAAAATACTTCCGCTTTAAAGCGTTTTAAAATCCAAGTTATTTCACGATGAAAAATTAAAATTCATATTTCTCATTCAGTTAAATCGTTAAATGTTGTTCTCGTTGATTCAAAGTCAACAATGTAACTGGCAGTAAATTTTTGATTCCCTCTTTGCGACTGTTCGCACACCTACGCTATCCCGTAGGACACGGGCGACAATTCCCGACGTTGCACGATTTCATCCCTTATAAACGCAAACAGTTCCATCAGTATGGATCGCGACGAATACAACCAAGCCATTTACAAGGGCACATTCATTATTATTATCCTTGCTATTTAATTTCGCCTCAAAAAATATTAGTATTAGTAATATAATTGTGATTAATTAACGAATATATTGTGCTAATATTTGATAGGTAAGTTTTCATTCTTATCGCTTTTATTGTATTAAGGGCATTATGTGCATGAGCAAGTGCGATGCGGGTCGGTACTAGAAAATGCTTTTTGTAGTAATTAAAAATGAAAATCAATAGAACTATAATAAATAAATGAGCAGATATTTTTTCCCTTTTTTATAATAAATTAAGTTCAGTTTTTTTTATGAACTGCGTAAAATTATTTGGCGTCTTAATTACAACTTTCTTAGTCCATTTAAAAGATTTCTATGATTGAAAACCAGCATTTTCACTGCCAATTTATAAGTTATAAACAAATCGCTTCATTGTAAATGTTATTTCTTTGTATTATTTTTGTTACAATTCAAAAGACAATGCAATATTTGGGCTAGTGCATTATACGATAGTCGATAGTAATTTTTACTGCAGACGGGACAAACCGGTCGATTTATTAAAAGTATAGTTTTAGAGATTTTTCTTTACTATGATTTACTCTGGAGTTGAATTAACTACGCTCCCTAAAATTAACGTTCAATAAATTTTCAATAGAAAGGAAAATTAAGTATCGCATAATCGTCCGCTTTTCATAGTTATCACTCGATAGGTATTTCGTATAATACAATATAATACATACTTCTGAAAAATTAGTAACATTTTTTCAAAGTTTGTTTAAATCTAATTATAACTATATTTCACCAAATTTTATCGGCAAACAGTTTAAATTTAATGAAAAAAAAAAACGACCTACTCATTTTTGCATATTATTGAAGAATTTATAAAATTATCAGTCAATAGGTACTTAATTTTATACCGAATTTTTTCTACGTTTAAAAAATGAATACGAAATTAACATAATGAAACTGTTTACAAATCCTTTCATGATCTCTAAATAAATAAAATAAGAAAGCAACTAAGTTTCACTAATTCGTTTAATTGTATCGACAAAATCGTTTTGGTCATTCAATGCAAGCATTATCTAGAGTAGAACAAAAGATTGCAAGTACTAGATTAGTAATCTTTTGTTCTACTGTAGACAATGTTTGAATTGAATTAAACAAACTAAAGGAAACGTATTTACTGTCTTCATTTATTTATTTAGTTGGTAAACTTCCCTAACTCGAACTTCGTAAATGTAGCCAGTTATAATCGAGTTAGAACAAAAAAAATGAATTAAGGAAAATTTCTGCTTTACCGTCAAAACTTTTTAATTTTCCTGTCGCTTCTACTAGGGAGATAATTATAATGCCAAACCCGCACTCAAATCTCGAAACTATAAGACCACTTACCTACTCTAAAAACAAATTAAGCAAATATGCGTACCTAAACAAACACATACAATTATACATGACGTGCACGAATGTTAATGAGAAAATTTATTTAATTTTTTATCCACTACAAATTACTTAATGAGAAAAAATTGTTGCTGCTACCACACCCTCGCCGAGAAACGAACCCGGGACCTTCAGCTTTACGCCCCAATACTCTTATGTTATATGGCGTGCATTAATTTTGAAACAATGAATTTCTGTTTCCTACAAAAGTCGTCTTGCCATCCGAAAACATTAACATTAAAATATAAACCAGCAAATTAAGTTGAAGCCAAACAATTGCAGCCTCTTCTACACGTATCTTTCAGTAAAACGGCTGTTCAAAATAAAATGTTTTGTTTGGGGTTTATAATAAAGGGGAGTTTTCGTGTGTAGAAACTTTATAAATTACTATCTTCTTTTTCTGCATCTAACTTTCGTAAACAGCATTGTTTCGTAAGGCTCTTTTCCCTAATGCTACAATTCCAAAGTTTATTCGCTGCGTCAATCTCGGCCGTTTTCCCGGATCCATACGTCGATCGGAGTTTCATATTGGAGGTTGGAATTAAAGCCGGAAACACACGCGATATCATTCATTCCCATTTGTGCATCAAGTGTAGACAATCATTTGCGATCATTGCAATTATGGTGTGGTGTGAACGAATATTTTCCGTCGATAGTCAGTAAACTCAAAAAGATCAAAGAGAAATTCGATTTGCGAACGTCTGCAAACGCCAATAGATTCTCGAATATGGAAGTAATAAAAATAGCAACGTTTCTCGCAGTTTCCCGGCGTAATACAAATACTTTTTTAAAAGTAACATTTCAATTTTTGTTTGCATAAATGCAAATTTATATAACAACAAAGGGTTTTACAGCCGGAATCCACAGCAGAATGAAGATTCGGGCTATAGGGCCGTGGTCTAAGTGAACTATTGTGTCCAGACGTTTCGTCAGCTACTGCGGCTGACATCCTCAGTGGTAGTGCTGCGTTGACAACGTGAACGTAGATTATATCTCGAAGTCTCGACAGCGACTGGGCCCAGACTTGGAGATATAATCGACTTCGACGAAACGTCTAAATACTTAGATCACGGCCCTATAGCCCGAATCTTCATTCTACTATGCAAATTTATCTTATATTGGTACGTAAAGTTTTTATAACGAACTCGACGTTGCACCTTATTCAAAACATGTAATGTATAATACGACAGATCCCTAATAAAATAAAATCTGGTACCTCTACTGAACGAAGAGTTCCATAAAAGAATTATCTTAAAGAATATTTCGCGGGATGGCAAAGACTGAAGAACACACTGCCCTCATGCATCACAAAACAAAACTCTGAAACCTCAAATGATAATTTACGTACAGTTTTTTTTTTAATTTGATACCCAATTTTATCTCCATGAAAACTAATACTTTGAAAATTCAAAATAATTCTTTATGATTTTTTTGTGGTGATTTAAAATGTGCTAGTGGAATTTTCATAAGCCTGTTAGTATACAGAAGGTGTCTGGAATATATCTTTTTTAATGGAACGTCCTACATATTTTCAGGAACTTAAAATTCCCTCTTTTATTCGATTTCGAGTACGTATAATGGAAAATATTATAAGAAAATTAAGTAAATGTTGAAGTTTATCATGACTTTCTTATGTGGAAGTTGGAAGGACATTTGAAGGAAATTGTTTGGCATCTATCTAAGCAATTAGTTATGCAGAACTTTATAGTTTTTGTTGTGAATTGAAGATTTGTAATACGGAAGTGAGATTTCCTTGATATTGATTAATAAATACTTTCCCGCGGCATAAATTTTGTTTATGTAGCTTTCTTTCTTTTGTGCAATTCCAACTGAATGATTTGGAGATTTTTGTCTTTATGGTCACGTAATTCAAACATTTTCGGAATCCATTAAAATAACGAAATTGGAATGACTAACACATTATTAGGGAAGATACGAGCAAAAGATCACATATTCATAAAAAGTTACGTAAGGATGATTGGAATAGAAGAAAATATTAAAAGCTACGTACTTCCATCCGAAATAACGAAATTAATAGCAACTCCTAACGTCATTCATATAAAGACAAAGTGTATTTAACTTTATACCAAACATTTCGTAAAACTCAACAACAGAATGAAGCATTTTGTCTTGCACTCAAATAAAATTTACTTTTAAAATTTGCGACTTCGTTACCAAAAAAAGGTACTAAACGTTCATAATACTTTTTACCACAGATTTTTATCCAATTTTTTATTGCACTTCGATCAAAAAAGTCCCACAGTAAAATTAAAATTAGTTTCCCCTTGCAGAAGATTGTTCTGAAACGTTTACCTACTGCTACAATTGTAGAAAACAGTATTTACTGTCGAACATAGCTGCCAAAGTCGACATTGAAATTTCATAAAGTATTTATCATTCATTTAACCGCTTGTGGCCAGCAGTTTTTGTGTATAATTTTCCTTTTTCAAACTATTACAAACAACAAATAAATAACGTCACACAGTTAACCTCAAACTGATTTCTACATATGTGTATATGTTAATAATACAATCAGAAATCTTCTGTAAATTATTTAAAAAAGTACTTACCCTCAACAAAATCCAAATGATCAAGACATAGCACATCACTGCATTAAAACAACTGTCCTTAATATTCACAAAAACTATATTCACTACTCATGCGAATTAACCACGTTGTGTTCCGAACATACCATAGGTACCTACATTTCGCACATATTGAGGTTAAACCGCTTTTGACTTTACGGCAAATTTGAATTTATCTATAAAAATACGATACCAACGTAACACAGTTTTCTTAAAAATCTCATAACCTACCTTAACTAATAAATAAAAAATTGCGGAATAAATAACAAGGGATAAATACAGAAAAAACGAAATTTGAATTTCGAAATATGAAAACACTTGAACTAAAACATTATCGGAAAACTATTAGTTTCACATAAGCATTTAATAAATAAGGAGGCATGATATAGTCTTTTCATTTCTCTTTTCCAGAAAACATGAAGTTTCTAGCCGCTATATTTGTTGTGCTAATGTTTGATAAACAAACAGACGCCTGGGGAGGTTTGTTTAACAGATTTTCACCGGAAATGTTGACGAACATGGGTTATGGCGCCCATGGGGGTTTTATGCAGGTAAACATACTTATACATATATGTTTAGTTATGGGTTTAAAATGGGGTAAATTAACATTAATTAAGAAAAATAAATCAAAACATAAAAGCCAAGTACTTACTTGCCCTTAAATAAAATAACCTTTTTAAATTGAAAAGAATTTTATCTGGATCATCAAAAGCGATGAAATCAAATCCACAAAAATTTAAATTCTTTGGAATTTATATTACCTATAGTCATCCTTTTACATAAAACCCAGTGTTAAATTAAAAAACCGGTTATTTGAGATAATAATTTTGCTTTTAAAGATTTATATTAAAAATTAATCTCATTACCCTGTTACTTGTGATTCACCATTCAAAATTAAATAATCAGATCTATTCAAAAATGCAATATTTTTATTAATTTTCAAAAAATAATTAATGATAAAACTGCACTTTTTAATGTATGTTTAAGTTAGAGATCGTACATTTCATCTAGAGACGGTGATTCACCTGAACCTAAAGATAGCTTTACTGCGTTTGCGCATTATTTTAAATTTCTCATTAAATTTAGAGAATGAACGGCGATGAAGGAATAATAGAAGAATTTGAAAGAGAATCTGATGAAGATCCGTGTTACGGAAGACGATGCACTTCAAACGAGCATTGTTGTCCTGGTTCTGTGTGCGTTGATGTCGATGGAGGTATGTAAATTGTTATATTCCGGTATGCATTCATTAACCAAACCTAGGAGGTTGCCCCTGGCTTATTTTGTTTAACCTGGTCATTCATAACTTGCGGTTTACACACACGGCCCCCATGAGCAAGAGATCGAAACGTATGAAGCCGAAGCCATCACTACCACTAGTTCCTCCTGGGAAGTGAGCAAGACCCCTAGAAACCACGGGTGCCGGCGAGACCCACCTAATCCATACTGAGCTTAGCGGGCTTTGAACTTTTTTAAACCTTTGGGTGTCTTATTCCCACCTGCTACAAATGCTGATGAGTGGGCAGCCCCCCCCCCCCGGACTATAGAACAACAGTGGTTGCTGTGAGAAAAATGAGACGGGCAAAATGAAGACAGAAGATTATCCGTGGATTTGTTATTACGAAACAGAACGAAAAACAAAATACATATAAGTACATAACGGGATTCTCCCCATTTTACCTATTCAGGGAGTCAGTTATATTTTTAAACTAATCTAAGTTTAATAACGATTTAATCGTCCAATCTTATCAATAAACCGTATTGTGAAACTTAAACAGAACAGTTTATTTTAATCTTGTTTTATTTAGGGATAGAATGTTTTGAAATGTTTTATGAATTCCTCCCATATTTACAATGCCCCCCAAAGTAAAACCGGAATGCAATTTTTTCTTTTAATTTTTAGTAATTGGAACATGTCTATTTGCTTACGGACATAGAGCAGGAGAATTGTGCAGAAGAGATAGCGATTGTGAATCAGGATTGGTGTGCGCCGAGGAAGAAAATCAAGGATCTGCTAGAGTATGCAGGCCACCAGTACGTCAAGATAAACAATATTCGGAGCCCTGCAATATGTCCAGCGAATGTGATATTACCAGAGGACTCTGCTGTCAATTACAGCGCCGGCACCGACAAGCACCGAGAAAAGTAAGTAATTGAAATTAATATTAGATCCAAATAAATCGGTCAAATCAATTTCTTATAACTCATTATCACCATAAGGTAGTCAGCCCTAAGACTGGTTGAACACGCACTTTCCTATCCTAAGCTAATCCTTCACTATTTGTGAACAGTAATCTAATCAAGGTCTACCTCTACTCCTCTTAACTCCTGCTTCTGCTTCTAATATATGTCTGACTGGTCCTAAGTATTTATTATTCATTCTCGAGGAGGGGAAATCTTCAAAAGACACTCCCTGAAGGGAGGTAGTATCGGATTTTTACCGACTAAAACCCCTCCTCGGGTAGGGAGATAAATCCCGAGGGCTGCTCATCCCCGGGAAGAAAGTGGAAGGTTGGGATTGGGGAGAGGGTTGAGATGGGAAAATAGTTAAGCGTGGGGGGATATTGAGGGGGGAAACCCGTCGGAATAGGTGATCCACCACCTAAAATGATGGATGAACACTCGCGCTAAAAAGCGAAGCTAGGAGTTAGCGAAAAGGAGTGGCTCATTTTAGAAGGTGACAGGGCCTTTGGAAACGGTCATTTAGTTTCGGGGTGAAGTTGGAGAGTGTTGAAATAGTGGAGTTAGCGTATCCTGACATTATGGCCCGGAGATTTGCTGCGAATGAGATTGCAGCCTCAGAGAGAGAAGGTAAACCGGTTTCTTTCAGAATTTGGGTGTTTCTGACGAACCATGGATAGTTTAGTGCGAAACGCAGGATCCGTATGTAGGTGCCTTGCAAAAGTTTCAGGGGGTGGGGAAGGGCGCAGCCCCAGACGGGAATGGTGTAGGATCAAAATCTCCTGATGATTGCGTTAAACACACGGATTTTCGTATATTGGGAGATATTGTTTCGGAAGAAAGGCTGATGAATGCACCCATAGCCTTGTTAATGGTAGTTGCGATGTGGAGCCGCCAGTTTAGGGTCTTGTCGAAGACGACGCCTAGGTAGATGACAGAGTTGTTCCACTTGATGGGACGGTTGTTTATTAAGATGGAAGGAGGTTTTCGGGTCCTACGAGCGAAGAAAATTGCTTCCGATTTGGTCTCCTTAATAGAAAGTTTCCATTTTCGGTACCAGTTTAGGAGCAGGGGCAGAAAACAATTCAGGAAGGTGAATCGTCTTAAGGAGCCATTTTTTTTTCAAGGTGAGAGAAGGGGTAGTGGTGAAAAGTAGTGCGGCGTCGCTTCTCCCACTCCGATAGAAGATGTAGTTGTCAGTCATCTCGGAAGTCGACGGTGGCGCTATCGAGAAGGGTAGTCAGGCGAAACATAGTACTTGGCGCGGCGGGTGCAAAATTTCAAAATCTCATTAGCTTAACCAACTTACGGGTGTTTGTGAATCATGAGAATGGATGGGTGGTAGTTGGGGTGATTGTGATTGGATATTAATTTTATACACTGTAATTACATTAATAAAATGTTACAGGTCTGCTCGTACTTCAAAGACCCGCTTGTATGTATCGGACCCGTGGCAACAGATCAAATAAAAAATCCAATTCAGCATACGGCCGGAGAAAAAAGACTAACTGGCTTTGGGTCTTTTAAAAGGCAGCTCCCGTAAATATATGTAAAAAAAGAAGATAAGAGAATGAGGTGTTGTCAAATTGTTCCTTCTTTACGTTGAAGATACTTTAAGAGTAGTGTTTTAAATAGGAACATTTTTTCGTCTTGAGCTACCTTATGCTTAATTATAAATCTATTGTAAAGTAGATACTTACTTCTTTGAAAAAATGGCTGAGGTATTTATTCAAAATTTATTATGAATCAAATTCCTTTCACGTTATTTTGACCAAAATTCTTAGTTTCTAATGCATTTCATTAATCACAAAAAATATTTTTTAACTCTCATTTTCACTTAATGTATTTTTTTTTCTTATTACGTCCTTACTGTAAACTGTGATTATCATGTCAGCACATTTTTATTGTTGTCTATAATGTGAATTTTAGAAACTATTGAGTAAAATACAGATATATATGTATATGTGTTTATATAGGTGACAGGGCCTTTGGAAACGGTCATTTAGTTTCGGGGTGAAGTTGGAGAGTGTTGAAATAGTGGAGTTAGCGTATCCTGACATTATGGCCCGGAGATTTGCTGCGAATGAGATTGCAGCCTCAGAGAGAGAAGGTAAACCGGTTTCTTTCAGAATTTGGGTGTTTCTGACGAACCATGGATAGTTTAGTGCGAAACGCAGGATCCGTATGTAGGTGCCTTGCAAAAGTTTCAGGGGGTGGGGAAGGGCGCAGCCCCAGACGGGAATGGTGTAGGATCAAAATCTCCTGATGATTGCGTTAAACACACGGATTTTCGTATATTGGGAGATATTGTTTCGGAAGAAAGGCTGATGAATGCACCCATAGCCTTGTTAATGGTAGTTGCGATGTGGAGCCGCCAGTTTAGGGTCTTGTCGAAGACGACGCCTAGGTAGATGACAGAGTTGTTCCACTTGATGGGACGGTTGTTTATTAAGATGGAAGGAGGTTTTCGGGTCCTACGAGCGAAGAAAATTGCTTCCGATTTGGTCTCCTTAATAGAAAGTTTCCATTTTCGGTACCAGTTTAGGAGCAGGGGCAGAAAACAATTCAGGAAGGTGAATCGTCTTAAGGAGCCATTTTTTTTTCAAGGTGAGAGAAGGGGTAGTGGTGAAAAGTAGTGCGGCGTCGNCAAAAACTATTTGTTTTTGTAAAAAGAGATTATATGGTAAGATCAAAACCATTTATAAAATACCAATAAAATAAATTACCATCTTCTTATTGAAAAACAATACCGTTCGATAATGTTTTAACATTTGTGAATACTGTCAAATCATAGCGAACAGTAGGAAATCAGATTTAACAAAGCATCCAGATATAATAAACAAAGTCGATCCCTAATAAGAGCCTTAAAGGACCATTGAAAAAAAAAATATCTGGTATAAAGTTTTTATATTTAACACTGTTTAATATAATTTAAAATATGCTTTGTTAAGAGGTCATAATATCAAAATCAAAACATTAATATTGTTAAATTAAAATATACTTTTCAAAAATAAACTATACTTTAATGTCATTTAAGTACATTATATTATAAAGTTTACAACAAACTGAAACTAATTTGTCTAAAAAACATACAGTATTATTATCTTTTATCATATAAAAAGGGAGAATTTCGTTTAGAATTGGAAAGACAATTTGTAGTTTGCATGTGGTTTCTTTTGCATAATTTTCAATTTCTGATCCACATTTGCGAATAATACTTAGTAAATTACTATTATTTGAATAATTTACCAAGTAGATACCATCCTCTAACAAACAAGTTGTTGACTGTGCAGATTTATGACAAATAAGCAATTGTGCATCTTTTCTTAAATATTTAATAATATTGCTTTGGTTAATCATGGCTTTAACAGATATGTCAGGCAAGGCCTTTGAATTAAAAATGATTCTTCCATCTAATGTATATGCTAAAAGATAATTTATTTTGTAATTTTGTGAACAGTCACCTTTAATTTTAATTGTTAAGACATCAATAATTCTTACCCTTTGAGGTAGTGAGAATGAATTATCTACAAATTTAGGGAAACTTAGTGGGAAAAGTGGATATGATATGTTTATTATTTGAAATATATCAAAGAATATGTCGATATTTGATGCAAATACTAAAGGAAACTGAAATTCGTTCACAAAATACATTTTATTAAGATGCAATTTACCTAGAACACATAAAAGTTGTTCCATTTTAGACTTATTAAACAAAACAGTCATGTAGTTTTCAAGAAAGTCATATAACACAAAAAAAAATTCAGCTCGCATTCCTGTTATATTACTAATTATTTCATTAGTAATTAAAGCATTACTTTCAAATAAATGAAGTTCATGATTTTGAAAGTCTTTCTTACAGCTTTTATCATATACACTTATCTTCAATTTTTTTCTTATATTACTCAATCTTTCATTTAGATTGTTACAAAGTTCTACACTTTTATTTTGATCCTCGATCAATGGGGTCTCACAAGATTCTTCCTTAATATTAATATGTGAAATGCTGGGTAAACAACATTCACTTTGAGAATCTAATTCTGGTTCATCCAACATTCTGTCTACAGTTGTTTAATTCTACAACATCAAACAAAAAATGCACTTAAAGCTCCACAAATCATGGTGAACCCCTAAATTCCATAATATCAATTAACTGAACATATTAACATTAATGTCTTAAAAGACACATTGACATCACAATATTCGTACATAGTTCCAAAAAAAAAGTATTTTCGGTATTGGAAGAAGAAAGCATTACGGTAAAAATGAGTAAAACCAGACAAAACTTACCGAAAGTAACCTACGAACATAGATATTAGATACACAAAGGGTAACTGTCAGATTGTGTCAGATGATATTTATGAAAACAGTTCAGTGCTTGAAAACAGATCATAGACAAATATCTTAATAATATATATTTTTTGGAATTTAAACTATTGCTATAGTATAAAGCAATTTTATACAGGATTTTTTAAAAACTACATCTTAACTATTTTAATTTCGTAACAAAAAAACACTATATTGAAGATGGATCTATGGCCTAATCTTTATCTATGGGTCTAACCCTAAGGTAGCCTCTTATCTATGGACAACGTAAGGGAAGTTCCGACCTTACCCTTTGTATATCTATTATCTGTGACCTTACCTGTTCTCAAAGTGAATGTTGTTTACTAGTAGTTGTTGGTTAAGTATATACCTATTTATGTATTTACTAATAATAGACCTTTAAAGATTATTAAATTGAGATCCTCGTGTGTTTTCACCTTACAGGTTTATTGACAGTAATAATAGTTGTTGACAATAAACTTTATCTATGCAAAGAACTAAAGCATAGATAAGAACTAGTGGACAGTATCTGGTTTTGTTACAATGGTACAGTTTCTTCCTACTTAATACATGTATATGTAATATAGCATTTTTTAAAGTACTTCTTTTTAGGAACTTCATCAAGAACCTGAGTTTCACATAAATAATCATTCTGGTAAATATCATATATTCAACATTATAAATTTTTTCAAAATGCTATTGTGTTCTTGTAGAGTTATGTGAATTGAAGGTAATTGATAACTTCATTCACAATTTTGAGTTGTCATATGGAATTCATCATGTGGCATTTGCACAAAAACCTTTTCACCAAGTGCTTCTGGAAAATATTTTTTCACCATCTGAAACAGTATATAATACAATAATGATTAATTGATACTGGTTATTTGGTTTCTTCTTTTTACAGTGGCGAGTTATAGCGCTCTATTTACATCATGACAATGACCCATTTGCACAAAACTGGTGCAAGCAACTTGCATCAGAAGAGACTATTACAATATTGGAACAATGCTTTTGTGTCTTGCCATGGGACATTACTGATCATTCAAGTCATGAATCTCTCCAAGAAACATTGTCAAAATATTTGAAGCATTCCTTCAATAATTTTAAGCACCAAAAGTCTGGTGTAATATTTATTTTACAACTAAATGGTATTCCTTCTGTCGTATCAATCCTTCAAGGAAATGATTCCTCTGAAGATATTTTACATACCTTAAAGGAAATCAGAGAAATTTTGAAGACAGAATCTGCAAGTTTTCAGCAAGAATGTAACAAGCATGAAGAAAGTCCATCAAACGTTGGGTAAACTTAACTTTACATTATGGTGCATATACTTTCTCATCTGCCATCCAACTTTTGTTTAATACCAAACTTTTTGTGGTCATGTGATGTTTAATGATAGACTACTGGTAAAATTTTGTGCTAAAATCCAAAAACCCCTTCTATAGGTCAAACAAACTGAAGTAGAAACTATCTCATTTCGCAATATATAGTTAATTACTTTTGTTTTTTTGTAACTGTATCAGAATATTTTCTTATAGATCATACAGATTCCAACAAAACATGTTTGAATTGTTAGGAGATCGAGATTATGACTGCTTTGATTATAATCAAATGGATGAACTTAAAAAGAAAATTGGTTTTGCATTATTTGGAGCCCCTCCGGAAATTGGTTATTCTAAAAAAGAACTTAATCAGATTGGTAGTATTTTCAACAATATTATTAAAGAAAGTAATAGCTTTAATTTGTATACTTTCTGTTTGTAATTTTACCCATTCCTTTAATTTTAGACAAAAATGCCAGGTATAAAGATCAAGTTATTATTGCCTTTATATTTAATTGCACTGAGCCACTGCCACAAGAAAAACATCAAAAAATGAATAACCCTGGTTACAGTCCAGATGCTGATATAGGAGCGGTACCTATTTTTGTATTAAAAAAATGCTATTCTAAATGTGATCATGGCTGTCGTATATTTATTGACCATGAAGGCAGAATTTATACAAGTTGGACTCAATATATAGATAATAATAGATTGGGTAAATGCATGATGGTTTTACCCAAAAACGGTCGGTATAGGGTTGCTAAAAATGGGACTGTATTATTGAAGAAACATTACTCACCAGCCTGTAAAATGGGTGCTAAAGTAGCTAGAATTACTGATATTTCTGCTAGTGGAATAGGCCTTGTATCTGGAGGTATTCTAGCAGCAGCTGCTGTCCCTGCTGTTACATTAGCTCCACTTGCTGTAACTGGTGCTGTGGTGGCTGGTGCTACGGCAGGTGCAATTTCAATTATTCGAAGCACCATATCACTTATCGATATGAAGAAACATAAACAGGTAACAGAACAGTACAATTATGTGAGAATAAAACTTGTAAAGATTTTACATATGTAAAACAAAATTTGTAAAAAAAATAATAATACTGCAATTCTTTTTATAAATTCATTATTCATTCATTCAAGGTCTTATAATTTTTTGTTTTTTATTCATTAGACAGTACAATTATTAAATTGCTTTTTTTATTGGACCGTGAAATTCTTTAATGTTTGCATTTTGAAATAATATGAGAAATCCAATGTTAACTATAAAGTCTAATGTAGGATATGAATGTAATACGTAGTAAAGAAGCCAGGGGTGCCGCTCTAAATATTGCAGCTGGAAGTGTAGGAGTTCTTGGAACTGGAGCTACCGCTGTTTTATCAAAAGTAGTATCAAGAGGGGTAAACGTCGGAAAAGTATTGACTGCTTTTATTAATTAATTTTAATTTAACACTAACCAAATATGTTCTGTAGGTAGGCCAAGGAGTTGTAAATACATTAAATACAACAAATTTAGCAATAGGAGCAGCAGCTCTTGGAAACTCTATGCATCATGTCTACTTTAGTTGGAAAGATGGTGATACAATATCATCGTTAACAATTCTTCAGCTAGTTACATCATCTTTATTCTTTGCAAACTCTGTTTATTCTTTTAAATCCGCGACAACAATCATAGAAGAAAACCAACCAGGTGTCCTAGATCAAATGAAAAGTATACTGCTGGGCAGTAATCGCAGGTAGAGTTTCAAAATATAATTACAAGTTACAATAGACAAATTAATTCGGTAAATTTGGATAAATTCATACGACTTTATAAATAAAAATGCTCATCATTAACTAATGGGGAACCGTCCGTGTAGTCTAACTATAATTTGGCTAGAGGTAGAAGTTACTTAAAATATAATTTCATTTAGATGTATCTTTTCTTTCAATTTTAAAATATGTTCTTGATGAAGTTGATATTAAATTCCATGGTCTGCTACTGAAGAAACATGTTTTTATAAAGTATGGTTCAACATTCAACATGCACAATCAAACTATTTCTATGTTGTATAAAATATCAATTTTTGAATACTTATTTATTTACGATTTCAATCCATTGTTTTCTAAATGAACATTAAATTAAACCAAATTCGGTTTGTATGCTATGGCTAGGCGATTTGATATCTTTATTTGGGGAAGAGGATTATCAGCTATCGTGAAGCAATACTAAAACATGGGTTTATCAAAGCAAGTCCTAAAACTTACATGATATGTTTTATAAATATTCTCTTATGATTAGAAAAATAATGTTAACACTGTAAATATTGTCTTCGCAGTTTTTTATACTAACTGAATTTAAACTTATAATTTTCAGAAAAATATCCCTTGAAATGCACAAGGATACGATTCGAATAAATGGTGGCAACAAACAGGCAGGTAGTGCTGAAGTTATATCAACTATCCGTAACATACCCAACAAAAATGAAGTTTTTGAAATCCTTAAGGCCAATAATAAATTATTCAATAAGAATGGCGTCAGGTTTTCTGTGTTAGGATCAAAGATACTGTTCAATGATAAAGCTTTAAGCTTGGGATCGTTTGACATCCTATCAAAACCCCAAAGGTTAGAAATTCTTTCAGAAATGCCGACTACTCTTGTTCCACAACAAGCTTCTCCCTGTTCTTTGTCGATTGATATTTTTAATAGGTTTAATCAGGCAGATATTTTAAAGTTAACATCTTTTGGCATTCGTCTATATACGCATTCTACATCATTTAATCATGCATTGCAAATCACATTACAAGAATTTTCTGAATGTATAAAAGAAAAAGTACTTACAATTATAATAGCAATAGTAAACAAGGCAGTAAAAATAGGTTTTGATAGTATTCAAAATTTCCTTCTGTCTGAACCTATTATTGTTCTTATAAACGTTGTTAAAACATTTGCACAAAATTGGGCAGAAAAATACAAATGTGAATATGAGGTAAGTAAACGTCGAGCACAAAGAAATCCCGATTTTAACGCAGATAAATTTGATGAAATGTACGGTATACATCCAAAAACAATTGATAAAGGTTTATATTTTTGCCAAGTCGTCATTGGTATAATGGTTTCCAATGGTGAAGTCATACTAAAATATTTAGAACAATTTTTTGACTATTTCATGAATTTGATCACAGCAAAACTTGTAAATGATAATCAAGAGGAAAGAAGGAAACATGAACAAAAACAACATTACACAGAAAGGAAAGAAAAATCATGCAACGAATGTGGAGGATATTATTTTGTTGATGAATAGTATTATTCACTTCGCTTTTATTAAACTAAAAAAAGCGCGTTCTAATGGATTATTTTTTTATATTCGAACGAAGCAAATTTTTTATTTTGTTTATTTTGATATAGAAAATGTACCGGAAATAAATTTAAATAAAAAGGCCTTTTAAATAACTGCATATATTATGTAAAGTAGAAACAATTTGATAAGACTGCACACAGTATTTACTTACAATAGGAAATTGCACCAAAAAAAAATTACTATAATAAAAATTTGTAATTCACTAAATTAAACAA